AGGGCCCGGCGGGGACCGCCGGCCGGTAGCCCCGGTGCGGCCGAGGGTCTGTGGGGCGCAGGCGCAGCCAACCGAGCCGCCTGTCCCGGCAGGTGGGCACCAACCTGACCGACCTGCGGCTGCCGCGGAAGGCGACGCTCCGGGAGCTGGGCGGCTGCATGGGCCCCATCTGGCCCAGCTACTACGGCGAGTGCAGCGCTCTCCTGGTGAGCGCTGGCGGCAGCACCAGGACCCCACACCGGCAGGGCGGCGGCGGCGGACGAGCGGGGACCCCGTGGCTGCCATCGCTGAGCCAAGGCCCCGAGGGACAGACCCGGCCGGGGGGGGATGCAGCCGCAGGGCACCCTGTGTCTAGGGGTTGGCGCTGGCCCCTGCTCCGCTGCGGGGAGTCGGGCCCCTCAGCTTCGCCCTGGCTCTGTGATTTCCCTCCACTGCGCCCTGATCTGGCGCAGCTAGACGCGGGGCCGCCCTTGGGCATGCCCACACCGCCGCTTTCCCTTCTTCTCCTCTTCCAGTTTGTGGTCGATGCCGCCAACCCCACCCAGGTCTCCTCGTCTTGCGTCCAGCTGCTCTCCGTCCTCTCCGCAGCGCAGCTCGCCTCCGTGCCTGTGCTGGTCCTCTTCAATAAGATGTGAGGAGGGGGGTCAGCCCGGAGGGTGGGGGCACACGGGGGCACGCTGAGGGCCTGCGGTGGCTCCTGTGTCCCTTCCCTCGGGTGACACCCAAGGAAGCCTGGCGTGTCCTGGGGGGCAGCAGCCACACTTTACTGCACTCCCTGGGCTGGCTGGGCCTGCGGAGACCCCCGAGGCAGGGGCTGGGCCAGGCAGGAGAGCTGTTGGGGTGGGCTAATGCAGCCACCCCCCTCCCACCTGCAGTGACCTGCCCTGCTACATGTCGCTGGCGGAGATGAAGTCGCTGTTCCGCATGCAGGACATCGTCTCCTGTGCCACACAGCCCATCACGATGCTGGAGACAAGCGCGCGCAATGGCACCGGCCTGCCTAATGTCCTGCAGTGGCTTCGGGCCACCCTCGGAGACCCCCGCTGACCCCGACCCTGCCCGGGTGCCTGTGGCAGCCCAGGCAAGTCCTGTCACCGAAGGAGGTGGCCGGTGAGCAGCTGCCCTGCGTGGGACTGGGAGCGGAGCCCAGGACGGTGTCATGGGCTGGTGGTGGACAGGACCCCTGTGGAACTTTACAGTAAAATTCCCACTGTACTGTCCAGGCTGGTGTCTGCCCTGTGCTTGCGTGGAGACCCTGGCCTTTCGGGGAAGGGACGAGCAGGAGCCTCAGAGGCCAGACCATGCTGGCACAGGGCAGTGCTGGCACCTCTGGGGACAGGAGGGGTGGTCATGGTGGTCACAAGCAGCAGGGGTGGGGTGGGGTGGCAGCACCTGGGCAGCGGCTGGTAACACCTCCCGGGTTGGAGACCAAGTACATGTGTGGCTCCTGCCAGCAGTTTTGGCCCTGCAGGCCTTGTGCCAGCCAAGGCACAGCTGGGTGACCTGGAGGAACATGTGGAAAGACGGGGGCGGACCTGGGTGGGTGTCGGAGCCAGGGCAGGCTGAGCTGCAGGGATGCCTTGGTCAGGGATGTCTCATGAGCTGCAGCAAGTGCCAGCCCGTGGCTACTCTCCAGCACTCACCTGGGCTCAGAGAACAGCTGGGCGCGTGCAGAGAACCCGGCCCGTGCCCGCACCGATAATCTGTCGGTGCCCACACTGGCAGCCCAGCCCAGCGCCCAGCTGGGCAGGCAGCTGCCTCACCCGGTGGCATGAGTGCCAAGTCACGGGGGTACTTGTGGCTGCCCGCGCCTGGCACACGCCGTGGCACAACCCTCCCTGGGTCTGTTGGTGCCATGGCACGGGGGGAAACCAGCTTGGGACAGGGCCAGGGCCTGCTGACAGCGTGCGGTGGTGGAAAGTGGTTCTCAGTGCTGGGGGCTGCAGACACCACACTGCGATGGCGAGTGGCTCCTGGGGCCATATGCGATGCCACGGCCATAGTCTTTGCTCCTGCGGTGTGGGCTGAGCCGGGCTCTTCCCAGGGCAGCCTGATGGGCAGGCAGGCAGTGCCAAGGAGCCCGAGCACACCCTGCCATGGCTGCTGAGTCACCACTCCTAAGGAATGCTGATGCTAACGCACCAAACCCGCTTGCCAGCTTCCAGCCTGACGGGTTGGACACAGGCTGGGAGCACTCCTGTACAACTACACTTTAATGGGCCAGGTCAGCCTGCAGCACAGGAGCCAGAGCCTTCGGATTCCTCTGCCCAGCCCAGCACTTGGCACCACAGTGGTCTCTCTGAGCCTGTCCTGCCGGCAGGCGCGGTGTGCCGCAGGGCTGCCTGAGCTGGGGGGGGCCTGGGTGGCCTTGTTCACAGGGAAGATATCGGCCAGCTGCTCTCCTCCTTGTGAGCCAGACACAGGGCTGGAGCTGGGTCGGTGCCTGGCAGCTCCCGGCTCCAGACTTACTGCTCCTGGGCAGTGCAAAGGGGGCTGAGGGTTCTCTCCAGCCAGAAAGCATCACTGTCCCTGAAGTCTTCTGGAAACAGCCCAAAGGTGTTCTACGAGCTGGCTGGGGCATTTACAGTAGGGAGAGTTGTTCTCTGCTAACCGTAACCACCCATGGAGAAGGGCTCTGCTGGCGAGCCAGCCCGACGCAGCACTGTGTCCTGGTCCTGCTGTGCCTGCCCCATGCCCAGCAGCTCTGGGCAGCGGAAGCACCCACGTCCCTGTGCCACAGCATCCCCGCAGAGCTGCCAGATGACATGCCCCAATGAGTCCTTGGCTGCTGCAACCCGGAGCGGAGGATCTTCCCCAGCACCCCACAGTCCCACTGCTTCCAGTGTCACACTGTGATGGCTTAGAAAGATGGCTGGATCCAGTCCCTGGCTGCAAGCAGAGTGCTGTCCTGTCCCGCTCCTTCCTGGGGAGTCTGACACTAAGAGGAGAGATACAGTCCCTGAGACCCCTGAGTGTGTGCTGCTGGGGGCAGACAGGACTGCCCCACACTGAAAGCAGAGAGGAGGCTCTCTAAATGTCTCCATCCCCCTTCACCCCATCATCTCCTGCGCCTTCCTGCTCCCCGGCAAGCAGTGCTCTACCGCAGCTGCGCTGGCCCTGGCAGTGCTGCTCCTGCCAGCCCCGCTCCAGCACAGAGCAGAGGAAAGTCTGTGTGTCCAGCCGAGCTCCAAGCACCCCGGCAGCCCCCTCTCCCTTTCATGCAGGCCTCACCTGGGACTCAGGTGCGTCTCTCTCTCTGCTCGTAAACGGAGTGAAGCTTCTGAATGAGAAATATTTTATCTTCCCCTTCCTGCAACAGCAGAGACATTGCAGTGAGCAGCCATGGGATGTGCTCTTGCATGCCCGAGGTGGCAGCGCTGTCAGGGCTAGAACCAGAATCCGGCGATCCCAAGGCTGGACCAGGGCATGGAACAGCCAGGACTGCTGGGACTGCCCAGGGGCAGCATGCAGAGCTCACGCACATTGGCAATCTGCTCCTTCAGCAGGCAGATGATCCTCTGCTGGCCTCTCACCACCTGGATGTTGAAGTAGATCACGGCTCTGCAATGACAGGCAGGACAAGACGGTGGCAGCCAGGGCAGGAAGCTGTGGGACGCTGCGGTCCTGGCCCCAGGCTGGGGCGCAGGGCTCTGGAGTGACACCCTGGCTCCCAGCCCCCCGCTCAGCTCCTCAGCGGGACCCTCAAAGTGTGGGCCCAGGGTTCAGCCTCAGGCTTGGGACTGTACTCACAGCAGGACCCCAGACACAAAGAACAGGAGGAAGGTGTTCTCCACCAAGTGCTGGTGGACCCACGCGAACCAGGTGATGTTCGGGTTGGACTTCTCCAGCACTTGCACCCAGGTCTTCCCTGACTTGTAGATGTTTTCCAGCCCCTGGAAGGGACCACAGGTTTCTGACGGCCGCACCCTGAGCAGACAGACCGATGGGGTTGGTCAGAGTGATGGACAGCCCAGCTGGCTGCTTCTCCTAGCCATCCCCAGTGGCTGCACGAGGGGGTCCTCATCCCCTTGTTCTGCATCAGGAACAGCTGGGAGAAGTGGGCACAGACCAGCTGCTGCATCTCCCTGCCTGGGGCAGTACTGCACAGTCCTGTGCTGGGCACACTGTGCTCTGCATGCCGTACAGGGCTGGGGAGGCACGGTCTCCCCAAGTCCCTCTCCTTTGCCAGGCAACCATCAGTTCTGTGCCCCAAGCTGTGGTCCAGCAGGTACTCACGACCAGATGGTGTAGGAGAGGAAGACGGCTGCACCCAGGAAGGATGGGAAGCACAGAAGGGTGATGAAGACAGTCCTCATGTGAGATGCTTGCCAGGGCTTGCTGGGGGACTGGCAGTTCTGCATCAGGCTGGTCTGCAGACAGGGAGCAGAGTCCTGTGTGCTGCCATCTCCGGGGGAGCAGCCCCAGGAGTGCAAGCAGGGACAGCTGCCCCAGCCCACCGTCCCATCCACTGGGAGCTGGGCAAGCTTGGGGACACCCTGTCCCCAGCAACACCTCCTCCCTCCCACGATGACAGCGCTGCTTGCTGCACGGTGCAGCACCTCTGCTGTGACAGAGGCAGCCTGCAGCAGGGCACAGCATCACTGCAGGGCCACCCATCACAGGGACACATGGGGAGCTGTGGGGCAGAGGGGCTGCTCACACCTTTTTGATATAGAACAGCAGCAGCAGCTTCAGTGTCTGCACGGCTGGCAGGAGCGGTGCGAAGAGAACGCCCAGCCTGAGAGAGAGGGGGGAAGATGAGCTTGTCCCAAGTCTGGGCCCTGCAGGAGCTAGCGGTGGGGAGAGCTGGGGCCAGTGGCAGGGCACTGACGCCAGCTGTGGTCAGGCTTTCGTAAAGCGAAGAGCAAGCACACGATGCTCTGTGCCAGGTTTGCTGCGCAGCCTGTGCTGGGGCTGGGCAGCGGCTGAGATCTCACCAACCCCAGGGCGGTTGTGGCCTTTGGAGCTCCCAGGTGTGTTGAGAGCGGGAACGCAGCAGCACACGCATGGATCCCCTCCTTGGGCAGGGGGGTGTGAGACCAGGGGCTGCAGAAAGGTGGGTGGGGGGTGGCAAAGCAGGGGCCTGAGCAGCTGAGAAGACAGGCTGGAGGGGAGCAGCGAGCACCATTATGGTCTGGACAAACGAGGGGGGCTGGTCGTGCACCAGAGCCTGCTCCTTCCCCAGAACTCTGGAGGGGACCAGCTGGGCGGGGGATGCTGTACCAGACCCGGGACGCTCTGCTGATGATCCCCCCGTCGCTCTCACCCTGCTGCCAAAGCCAGACCTTCCAGGTGAGCACGTGCATTGTGACTGTAAGGTGCTGGCACCAGGCGCTGTGACTGTCAGGCCACCCATCTCCCTCGTCCCACCCACGTGGAGCAAAACGACCCTGCTCAGCGAAACGTGCAGCTCCCCATGCCTGGTCCCCGACAGCCACAGGGCTCCCAGGGGACCCCCAAGGCATTTGCCAGCAGAGGAACAAGCTGTGCCAGGCAGGAGACATCTCACCAGGTCAGGGTCTGCCCATAGATCAGCTCCAGCACATTTTGGGCGATGTCAAACTCGGGCTTCTGCTTCCTCTTCAGCTTCTTCTCCAAGATCAGCCTGGGAAAGAGCAGAGCTCTGCTCCCACACTGCCACTGGCAGGGATGCTTAGCACCCCATCTTCCCCCTCAGGCGGCAGCAGAGCCTGGGTGCACCAGGGCAGCACTGCCCGGGCAGCGGAGAGCCGGGGCCATGCTGGAGATGGATGCTGGCAGGGGGACCCCCTCCTGGGGCACATTACCTCCAGACCAGCTCCCCGAAGAGCGTGTCCAGCAGGGTGAATATGAAGTCCATCACCACGAAGCGATACAGGTCCTGCCCCACACATGTCTCCCAGCACTGCGGAGACAAGCAAAGGTGGCATCAAGCGAGCAATGAGGCTTCTCCTACCCCCATGACTTTCCCGTGAGGGGCTGTGGGACCTTTTCCTCCCCTGCGCCCCTTTCCCAACTACTCCATGTCTGGCAATCACCCCCCTCTCCCCAGCAAAGGAGCAGATGGTGCCTGTGGTGCTGTTCAGCAGAACCCCTGCTGCCAGACCCCTGCCTCTGCTGCCTGCCAGTGCCAGGACTGCAGCCTTGGCTTTGGTCCACGCTCCCTGGGCAAGGGACAGTCTGGATGGCATGGCCCCGGGGCGGCGGTGCTGACCTCCTCTGTTGAGCAGACAACTCTCCGGCTGAGCCACTGGTAGCAGAGCAGGCCGAGGACCACCATCTTCAGAATGAGGTTCCTGGGGAGCAGGAGCAGGGCCAGAAGCCCCTGAGCCCTGGGGATGGAGGGGCCAAGCCCCGCGGATGGGGTGTCTGGCCCCAAAGCCTCCCCCCATGCCGCAGGTGGGGGTGCAGCATGCTCCCCCCGCCTCGGCCCTGGCCAGTCTACCTGCAGATTGCCACATAGACCTGTGCCACGGGGGAGTCCTGCTTCTCCCACGTCGCCAGCAAGTTGTACAGGTGGGGCATCAGCATGTTGAGGAGAGACACCATGAAGGGCAGGACCAGCAGGATGGCTTCCTGCTGCCGCTCACTGCTGCCCCATGCTCGGTGGTCCTGCTGAACCTGGTGAGCAGGTACCAGGGTGAGCGTGCGGCTGCCGGCAGCCTGGCACCCTCGGGGAGGGCAGAAAATGCCAAGGCCAGGAGGGGAGCTGCAACGGGGCTGCCCCTGCCTCCCAGGGCTGCTCCTGCCTCCCTCCCCAGTAGCCAGCCCCAGCCCCGCAACACCAGGGCACAAGATCCCACAGCAAGGGGCGGCACTCACCGCGTGCATGTGCTCTGAGAAGTAGTGCACAGCCAGTACGCAGCCCAGCACTGTGCTCAGCGAGAGGGCCCAGGCCAGGAGAAGCACAGCAGAGTGCCCCAGGCGCTGGCAAAGGCTCAGGGAGCGGGAGCGGGACTGCTGGTCCGCGAGCAGCTCCTGGAAGAAAGCAGTGCCAGTGCTGCTGAACACGCTCTGGGTCTGGAGCAAGGCTTTGTCCTGCTGCACTGAGCTGGGACCCTGAGGGCTGATGAACAAAGTGCTGGTGCGGGATGGGGGTCAGGGGGTATTTGCAGTTGCAGGGCTCCCCTGTGCAGCGGGTAGGAGGGGGGGGTGCTGAGCCCTGGGGTCTGGACTGGCTCCTGTGAATGCCTTCGCCTGCCCACTGCAGGGTGCAGGAGCTGACTCCAGCCCAGCTCCTCACCTTCAGCTGGGTGCAGATGTTCTCACACTGCAGCTTGACTGAGCGCCTCTGGATCACCTTGAAGTCCCAGGCACAGAAGACTTTGACGGCCAGGTCCCCAGCGGAGCTGCCCACACGGTAGCTCTCCCGGAAGGAGCAGGACATGCTGCGGCGAGGGGAAGGGTGTCAGGGCATCAGGGCTGGGTAAAGGCTGGCAGTGCCGGAGGCGCTGCTGACTCACCTGTACACCAGCAGGACACAGGTGACGAGGAAGGAGACCCCAACACTGAACACATAGGCCAACGGCATGTTGTATGGGAGCGGGGGGGCTGTGAGGGGGCTTGCGCTGTCATTGGGGCTGGAGGCGCAGGGGTCGTTGAGGGTGACGTTGCTGTAGTAGCCGTAGTATAGCAGTGAGTGAGTGAAGTAGCCCTGTGGGAACGTGCACGATGGGGCCCAGGGTGATCTCGCTGGTGCCCGTGGCTCCCTGCCCAGCCTGGGACATCTGTGCCAGCTCGTGGGGATGCAGAGCCCTGGGTTGGGGCAGCACCAGGCACCCCCTTCTGCACCCACAACACTGGCAGCCACAGGGCCCGGCTGTGTGAGGGCAGGGACTGGAGCATCACCGTGGCAGGGATGTAAGGATGTGGGACAGGGACCAGGGCATCACTGTGGCAGAGATGCAGGGCTGAGCCCCAGGTTTGGAGCAGCTCCTGGCCCAGGGATGTGCTGGCACTGGCGTGCTGGCAGTGCTTACCGCTCCAGTCAGGAGCTCGAGGCCAGTGAAGGACTGGGGGCTGGTGGAGGCAGGGGGATACGCAGCCTGCAGGGCCACCACGAAGACCAGGAGAATGAGGAATGAGATGATGTTGAACATAAGGAGCGTCTTGAGGAAGAGGAAGTAGGAGAGGACACTGGAGCCGAAGCGGCCACCAATCTGCTTCAGGGCATAATGCCAGGGCTTCGCGGCAGGGAGCAGGGAGAGGAGCCTGTACCAGAGGCCCCGGCAGCCCTGCAGAGAGAGGGAGCCTGGGGAGAGCACCGGGGCCGGAGCCTGTACCAGAGCTCCCGACAGCTGCTGTGCAGACCCATACCCCAGACTTACGAGGATGATGTAGTCCTTGGACCATCCGCAGAGAGAGGAGGGGGCCCGGCACTGGGCGTGCTGCCTCAGGGGGCCCCTCTGCCCACTCAGCTCCTGCCTGCCCAGCAGAGAGGGATGTGAGAGGGTGGCACGGGCCCCAGGATGGCTCCAGCTGTGGGAGCCCTGCCTGGCTGGGGGGAGAGGACCTACCGGAGGGTGCGTTTCTCTGCCAGGCTGAGGGGCACATTAAGCAGCATGTGGCTGCGCTGGCTGGGTGAGAGGCTCAGCAGCTCTTTCACCAGCAGGCTCCGCTTGTCTGGGGGCACAAGGGGCTCAGTGGGACACGGCCAGCCAGGACACAGTGTGCCCATCCTGAACCCGGCGTGGGGACAGTGCCCGGCACTGCCTGCTCCCACTCCTGGGGGACCCTCACCTTCCAGCGTGGCCCTGGCAGGGTCAGTCTCCAGGTCGTACTGCCGCAGGCTGGGCCGCGCCGTGTGGCAGAGCTGCTGCAGGGGTGGGCGGCTGCTCCGGCGCCGCAGCCGGGCTGTGCGGTTATAGTACTGGGAGATGATGGCCCCACGGCTGCGCCCTGCAGGCAAGAGCAGGGCAGGGGGGTGAGCAGCCGTGGGAGAGCAAGGCAGATGGCAGAGTTCTCCCAAGGGGCTCCTGGGCCTGGGAAGGGTGGGACGGTGTGTGGCACCTACCGATGGTACGGCTGGGCATGTTGGCGAGGATCCGCAGGGAGGCGGAGGAGTAACCAGGATGCTGTTCATCCTGCCCAGGCTCCTGCCACACCGTGGCACAGGCATCTTGGGGGGCCAGGCGGGCTGGGTGCTCTGGGAGAGGGAGGGCAGGATGCAGAGTGGTGAGAGCCAGACCACCCACACCTCCAGTCCCTGTGGCCCTGCTGCCCTTCTCCGGCATAGAAGCAAGGCACCTGCCCCATTATGTGCTCCCCCTAGAGCACCCCCTTCTCTGGGGATGCTCTCTGTGCCCCCATGGGCAGGTCTGCCCCACTGCCTGTACAGGTGAAGGTGTCAGTGGGCTCCTACAAGTGCTTTGGCCGCAGCCTCAGCACGAGCCCTAGCTGGCCCACGTAGGGTCTGGGACAGTAAATAGCCCTGGGCACACGCACTGTCCCCATCCCACCCTGGCTGCGGCCGCAGTGCTTTACCTCTGCCCCTCGCCTGCATCTCCAGCTCCAGAACCGCCTCTACCAAGCTGCTCTGCTCCTGGATGAGCTGGTGGAAGGAGGTGTGCAGGGCTCCTTCGTTGTCCGGGCTCGGCTCCTGGCTGCAGGGACACAGACCCGCTCACCTAGGCCTGGGCTAGGCACCGGGACCCGAGGGACGGAACCATGGCAAAGCGCCGGTGCCGGCTCAAAGCCTGGCCGTGCCACCTTGCAGCACGCGCACCCAGTGCCGGCTGGGCACGAGGGCTGCCGCCGCCCGTGGCGGGAACGCCAGCCTCGTGCCGCTGGGGCTGCAGGATGCCGGGGGGCTGAGGGTGCAGGGACACGGCTCGGGTGGGCACAGGCAGCAGGAGGGCAGGGCAGGGCAGGCCCACACTCACCCATCGCTGTCGGTGTCCTCGGAGACGCGGATGGTGATGGAGGGCGGCCGGGACATCCTGCTGGGAACGAGCGGGTCCCTGCGGCCCCGCCGCTCCCTCCGACACGCCGCCCTGCACGGCAAACGGACGGGCGTCAGCCGGCGCCGCGCCGCCGGCACCCCCGGTCACCCCGACTGCCCCGGGGACGGGGATGGAGCCGGTGCCGCTGCGTGCGGGAGCCCGGGGCAGGCGGGAGCGCGAGGGGCCGCGGGGCTAAACCCGGGTGTAAACACGGGGCGAACAGCGGGGCCAGCCCGGCCCGGCGGCCCAGCAGGCTGGGAGCCGCGGCGGGAGCAGGAAGGAAGGCGGGCGGATGGGGGAGGCGGCGCAGCCTCCGCCGAGCAGGTCCTGCCCGCGGCGGAGGTAGAGTTCGGGTTCGCACCGTCCCGGCCCCGGGGCTGCGCCGGAGGACCCCGCCCGCCGTTCCGGGGCAGAGACGCTCCGGGGCCGGGCTCTGCCGGGGAAGGGCACGGCAGGATCCGCAGCCCCGG